CCCCGCGCTAAGAGGGTTATTAAAATGAGCCGGGTCCAGAGAAATGGACTGCCGAGGCCACAGGGGACCCGCGCTGCAATCACACACTCCTGTTTGCTCCACAAATTGGCCCCTGAGAGGCGCACGAGCGTCTGTAGCGCCTAGTTAAAGTGATTGAGGTGACTCCCGGCCATCGATTTTCTCCTCGTCTTGGGCGTCCCGCCTGGCCACCCTTGACCATGTCCTGTGCTCCCTGCAGGCTACTTTAGCTTTAGCTGCCCCTGTTTAGCTGCCCCGCCGGCTGCCTGTAAATCACATTAAACTGTGGTTAAACTTTGGCCACGTTCATGGAGACAGCCCCGTCATTGATGGGGTTATCATTCTCTCAGCATCTCATACGCTTGAGTAAAAGCCACGACTTATCGATCGCTCAGTCCTCACGGCTTTAAGATTAAACTTGAATACAGATCAGAGAGAGTAAAGAGCAAAAAAAAAAAAAAAAAAAAATTCTAATCACACTCAGGGATTTATCTTCATTCCATAAACGCAGCGATGATACTGATTAAAGCCAATCACAGTGCTAATGAAAAACGCCTCATTGAGAGAATAAAAAGAGGCTAAAGGTGAGATTTCTCCAACAAGATAGTTGGTGAAAAATACATTCGCTGTGCCTCGCTCAGAGCGTCTGATGAGTAATGATGCCTATTTTTCTTTCAATTTCCTCGATATAGTAAAGCCAGCCGAGTGTGACACTTCATTAAGCTAATTAGGCTAACTTAATTACAGTCTTTCACAGGTCAAGTGATGAAAGCTTCTGATTGATGGCGCAGCTTGTAAAGGTAATCTCCGTCTGAACATCAGAATGAGCATTAACGGCTACAAACATCAATAATTACAAACACTTAAGCCTCACAAACAGCCGGCAGAGGAAACAGGCTAACGCTGTCCTTACTGTCATATGTACATAAACAGATATGAATGCTCCGCGGTCATAAAAGAACTTCAAATACTAACTGTTTGCTGAGTAGGAGGAGGCCTGCAGCTGCGGAGGAAGTGGAGAAAATGAAACTTTCACGCACTGTAATTTCAACAGTTGCAATCCTTTTGATGACAACACATCGGAGAGCGGCTGAAGTGGTGCATCCCACACGAGTTCACAGCTGAGTACTTTAAACACTGCCGGGGCAACTTTAAGAGCTTTTGGCATTTCAAACCTTTTATCCAAATCTTCTGCTTTTCTGATTCACCGTGTAGCTCAGCGGGCCGGGCGGCGCTGCAAGGGTGTAAATAAAGCTTTAAACAAGCGGCGCCTGGCCACGCTAACAGGCTGGAATTAAAGGCCGTCCGTATATTACAGCAAGACTGTCACTTTATTACTGAAATCAATTCAGCGAGGGCCCCCCGGGGGAGACGGCAGGAGGGATGTGGCCTCGGTCAGAGCGAGGTTTATCTAAGCCAAGCAGGCTGACAGAAACACAGCGTCTATAATGAACTCCAGCCTGTCCAATAAAGCCTTTCATTGGCCCTTTGCACAACAGAAACACGCCTGCGACGGCACCAACGATCAGCTCCAGCCTGTTCCTGCAAAACTGTAAACCAGCAGCTCCTCTGTAATGATTAGCGCTCCGCAAACATCTCGACAATCAGGTCGTCAGAGACAGAATCAGAGACAACAAGAAAAGCAGACAGAACCGGCAGCACCTGATTTGGGTTTATGATTCTAGTTTTAACACCACCAATAAATACACGCTCTTCCAAATTCATCGGACACCAACTGCCGTCGTGTCTGGGTTCATAAAAAATCAGAGGTGCGCACCGTCCTTCGACAGATACTTGATACTTGGCTCAGTTCTCTCTGATGGACACAGACTATCGGTGTCTTATTTCATCTGTAGAGCGCCCGTCCATCTGTCTTCTGCTGAGTGGCTGTTTCACCGTACTGCACTAGTCACACGCCGACGGACATTTGGCTTGTACAGCGCTATGAACTCAATATCAGCAGATTTTACTGAGAATTTATGGCAACAAAATGTGTCCAAAGACTTACTGAAAAAAGTTGTAACTCATGGTTTGTCAGCAAGAAAGGAAAGGCAAACAACTTAGAATGTGGCTGCACGGTGGTGCACGCTGTCGCCTCACAGCGAGGAGGTTCCTGGTTCGAAATCCCCGTCGGACAGGAGCCTCTCTGTGTGGAGTTTGCATGTTCTCCCCGTGCATGTGTGGGTTCTCTCCGGGTACTCCGGCTTCCTCCCACAGTCCAAAGACATGCTCGTTAGGTTAACTGGTGAATTGCCCGTAGGTCTCTATATGTCAACTCTGTGATTGACAGGTGAACAGTCCAGGGTGTAACCCCGCCTCTTGCCATATGACGGCTGGAATCTGCTCCAGCCTCCTGCGACCCGGACGGGAAAAGCTGTATAGATAATGGATGGATTGGACGCCACATAATAGCTCACAAATATCTGACGGACTAAGGCAGCTGTAGAACCAGCAACTCCTCTGTCTGTGAGGTTGAAATGCTGTTTTTGTCAGTATGGTCTGGTGGCTTTGAATGAACTGATGTCACTGCTTTTTCTGTTTAAAAAAAAAATCTGTTTCCTCTTTAAAAGAAGATCTGTCTTTGTAGGGATCCTTTCTGTACTGTTCTGTCAGCGACAAACACAACAACATTTTGAGGACCGTTCTGATCTGGAGAATAATCTATCATCATCATAAGAAGCTGTTAAACTGCTGCAGGCTGAAGTCATCTACTGGTGCAATTCAAAAGCTTTTTTTGTACCTTTTAATCAGTCAGACCCCAAAATATCAGACACCACGCAGAACTCAGACACCAGGATTGAAATAGCAAGACTTGATAGACTTGATACTTTTGTCTTAAGACGCGGAGAGACATCTCCTGATGTGACTGTGACCTGAACGTTTTTGGAACTCTTCTCGGACCAAAAAAGAAAAGCATGCTCTTCAAGCAAACCTTTGGAATCTTTTGAAATACAGAAACAGGCCGCCGTTCAAACAAAGACATTAAACCAAAACTGTGGTCAGCATCAAACACTGTAAGATCCTCTGCTTCCTGCGTTCCCCCCTCCACCCTCCCCCTCCCCTCAAGAGTCATACATCTTCCTCAAAGATAAGAGCCGTGGCTGCAGGGAGCTTTGACAAATCACTTCCTGCACCGCTCTTTGTAGCAGACTGTCATGCAGAGGAGTTGACCGCGAGCTATCTTTGCCGGCAGCTGAATCTCAGTGGCTGCGATCAGGTAATATTCTGCACTTAATGCTGGCATTTAAGAAACATCCTCCCCCCACAGGCGAAAACGGAGCACGGCTTGGCATTTAAAAGCAGATAATAAAACTTTCCTTAAATACAGCTCTCATCTCAGAGTGCTTTTTTGATGCCCTTAGTGGAGTCAATTATCTCCCCACACTTGCTATTACTGAGACACTCGGAGCACCTTGCGCCTTAAAAGGTCTGTACACCATGCTTTCTCAAAAATGTCACGTTCTTAACTGCCTCTCCAAACGTAGACCCCCGCAACATTTCAAACGTCATACACGTGTTGCCTCCTTTCATCCATCTGTTGCTTAAACATACCTCTTCAACTCAAGCTGACAAGTGAAGATGATTTAAAAAGAAAAAGCATTTCTAACATATACAGTAGATGAACCCTTTGAACACTTTACAGCTCTTCAAACAAGTCGTCTTTGATCAGTAAAAGGAACAGAGAGGGAAATAAAACTTTCACACTTATTTGTCACGTCAATGAAGAAGCAGAAGAAGAAGAAGAAGAAAATGTTATCCTCCCGTCAGCAGTGAAATGTCGCTGTGCTCCGGGGGCAGAGGGAGCTGAAGCTCGGCGGTTTGAACATTTGATGTTAACAAGTGGGAGGAAGGAGGAGGAGGAGAAGAGGAGGAGGATGGAAGCAACTTCACAAGAACAAGATAGTCCAGAGGAGAGGAGACAGGAAAGCGTACGACATGGCAGAAGTTGAAGAAGACGCTGAGCGGGGAACTACAGAGACTGGTGTAATGATCCGTGTTTGTCTAGTTTAAGATCGGCAGTGCAAAAGAAAAATGAATGAATACAATGAACAATAACAGTAAGGTAACTTGATTGAAAATGTCCAAACAAGTCTTAAAGTACAAAACATTTGCATACGGTGAACGGGTAGATTGCTTCATCCTGCAGCTGTGAAACAAGCTGTGATGGTGACAAAATAATCCTTCAAGGAAAATTCCCCGGATCAAAGAGAGTCCACGAAAGGACCTGTTAACACAACCACGATTTCAGCTGTTTTTTCATTTCACCATTTGGCCGTTTGTGGTGAGAACGCAAAGTGCTGAAAGCAGGTTTGCACCATCTCCATCACGGTGTAACCTGGCAACATGCAGTTCCTCCTAAACTGAGACACACATCACATTACGCTTCCAGTCAAATAGCCTTGACCGAGCAGGTGGACTACAACAACGATGGCGACTCCTGAGTTCTTTCTGTGAAAATGTCGACTGGCATGCCTCCCAGCGAACTTTGTAGTTCAGGGTCAATTGGAGTAGTCGTATTCTGATTTGGGTGATACTATCAAAATGTTATCGTCTAATGTGGATCTTTTTTTTTTTTTTAAGCTATTCAGGTTTCAGTGGAAGATTATTCGTGTAAACGCGACCTTAAAGTTCTTGTTTCTGTCAATGACCTTCTCACACTGCAAAAAACTAAATCATAACCAGTGTGTTTTAAATTTCTCATTACACTTCATTTTTTCCTAACATTGTTAACATAAAATAGATTGTTTAATGTAATTACCACAATCACATTGCTAATTCTATTAGCCCATAAACAACACTTTTCATTATGTGTTAAGATCTTTGGTCCCACCACCCACCGGAGAAAATAAATCAGCTGCCACTGTACACAAGTCCAAACAAAATCAAGAGTTCTTCTGTATGGACTCTTATTTCTAATCAAACGCTCCCATAACAGAGATCCCAACGCTGGCCACCATGACCCTGACAGAATCCAAACTCACCTTTGAGGACGAGTTGTCACACTCCTGGCAGATCCAGCCGTATCCCGTCTGCTTGGGGGATTTCTTCAGCGGGGGGTCCAGACACCCGAAGTGATAGCAGAGCTGGCACTCGTCACACCTGAGGGACGGACGGGAAGGCCTGGTGTTACTGCTCACATAAATAACACCCTCAGTCTTTACAGTGACGAGCAGCTGTGATGGACGGTGACGGGGCAGCTCGTTGGCAGTCATGAGACTTTGTTAATGCATTTTAAAGTTCCTCCAATCACCGCGCCGCCTTGACCTCACACCGCCGCTAACTGTCCCGTGGTTCACATCAGCAGGTAGATAAATAAAGGCCTTGTTAGTGTCAGCCAAATGTCTGAGCGGTGTCCTGAAGCGAGGGAACAAGAGGACAGGAAACATTGAGGACACATGGAAACCTTTAAATACAAAGATGCTGCTGCAGGAAAGAGGATCACTGCTGGTACACAGAAGCTGAATTGATTAATCACATCCAGTATTTACAGATTTTATAAAGTTTGTCAGAGAAGTTCAGAATATGAACCTCAATGTTCTCGGAGGAACAAACTGCATGTCCACTCACAGGTGATTTATTCTTTAAAGGCTGATTTTAACCCCCCTGCAGGAGTGCATATGTGGGTAATTCTATCAACCTGCTCTCCTCCTGTGAACTGACTTGAACTGACTCGTCCTCCTCCTGCAATTACATCCCACCCAGAGTGATGTAGTGATGATGTTTGTCTGCTTTGTTCCTTTTTTTTTTTAAGACTTTTGAGTGAAAATTAAGAGATTGCAACATGTATTCCTCATCTAAAAGACAGACATGTGACAAGAGTTCGTAGGACTCTTAATGAAGTTGTGATGTTTATCCAGTCTGCATGCATATTTAAGGTTCATGGATTTTAGAGGAGTAATTACAATCATTTACAGTTATTCAACGATTAAATGTTTAATTTTTAACATTTATAATGTACAAGGATCATTTTAAATGTATAAAATGTCACTAGTTAGCGGGTGACTATACTGCTGCTTCCTTAAAACTGTGCCTTTGAGTAACTTTGATATGAGGAGAGAAGGGAGTTTGAGGTAACGGGGCTGCAGTCAGACAAGCCGAGCCACACAGTTTTTTTCTAGGTTTTCTTGACGCCTTTTTCTGGAGAGTAAAAACAGTGGATAGAGTCCAAGATGTTACCTCAAAGAACAACAGGAGTCCCTGCTCTACTGCTGCATCAATAGATTATTTTAGTGTTATTGTGTCACACAGAAGTTGTGTTGGATCAAAACCATTTTTAACACCAAGGTAATACACAATAACACACGATTGCTAACTAACCGCGGCATGAAGAGGTAGACCAGCAACTCCCTCCTTCTGCAAATATATCATGAAATATGGGAGCCTTCAATACATGTTTCTATACATCCATGTGCTGCTGTTGTCTTCTCTGTACACCTCTCATTCGTACTATCAGATGTTTGAAACCTCCAGATCCACTTGTAGGATTTCTCTCTCCGTTTCTTCAAACCCCTCACATCGTCCTTCTTCCCTCAGTAATGGAGACGAATGGAGAGGGTTCAGGTTGACCTCCCCGGCTGTTAAGCTGTTATCAGATTTTCATTGGAGAATGTGAATCTCCGCCATTGATTAGGACATAATTGGCTCTAATTGTGGAGTGTGTGTTTGTGTGTATGTGTGTTTACCGGGCAGAGGGGGGGGGGGGGCTGTTGAAGGGCAGTCAGCCTCATAAATGATTAAAAGAAAAGTCTCCTGTCTTTGGGCTGCAGTCACAGGTCAATCTACGGCTGGCTCTGATGCACCCTCCACTTTAATGTATTTTATCGTCAGTCGATGCACTATCGACTCCCCCCGGCTGACGTCTGCTGGCAGGTGTTTTACTGGCTCTGCTAACCGGAAATGTATTGAGACAGAGATAATCAAAAAGAGAATAAAAGGACACTTTCTTAATCTGCAAATCAGTCAATTTATGCAAAGTTTTACGTGTCGTTTTTTTATAGTTCTTGTTTGTTTTTCAGTATCAGAGGATTAAGACTACAGTGTGTTTCATTTAAGATGCAATTAACAGTGTCTTGTAGAAGATTTAAATTAAAGGTGAAGGCTGTTGCCCAGTTAGAAGACAGTGCGGGTGCTTTTGGGGATCTACATATAACTTTAAAATCGAGTACATACTTTTTTCTTGTCAGCGTTATTTTTTTCAGCTGACCTCCTCCCTGTCGATAAAATGATCTGATAATAAATCAGTTAAATGAATGATTCTGCTTCTCTTTGTTCTCATTCTTCTGTCTTTTCTTGCCGTACTTTAATGAAGAACATCATGAAATCAAATGAAACACTCAGTCCAAGAAGCTGTCTGTGCATGATTTGTGTGTTTGGATATCAGTTAATCGTCCTCAGCAGTGGAGCCAGCGTTGTGTTGGATGTTTGAGCTGAAAGAAATTAGTCAGTTTGATTGTTCGAGAGCTGATAGATCTTCAGACGGACCCAAACTGTGACTCAGGCTTAAACTAAAAAGATGCTCCAATTTCTTTGGGAGAGATGGGAGTTCGTCTAAGAGTTTGCAGCTGGAATTTATCACCTCCAACTAAAGGAAGGGAACTTCACTCAGCCTGTGGGCGTGACACAGAGAACGTTAACTCCATGCCGGAGTGTGAGTGTCGAGGGAGGGGACAATCTGAGCCTGTTTGTGACACAAACACAAACTTTTAGTGGACGTATTTAGTTGGGAACTTTTGCCCCAAAGGATGACATCGCAGCCATTACAGCCTGATTCCAAGCTGCCGGCTGAAGAGAGGAATCAAAACAAAATCTTTCGTACCTTTCCAGTTATTTAAAACCCAGAAATAAGAAGGCAATTATTGCCTGGATTTGAAACGTCCTCTGGTGACTTGTTATGACTAAGAATAAGGGCCAACACCAAAACATAAAGCCAAAGCTGCAATTAAGAAGAATTATCTTGTAATTAACCAACAGAGCTCTGTGGGACTCCACTGAGACCGAAGAGCCAAACCCTATACCACATAAACATATGGAAGGAAGACTGAGGCAAGATATACAATAATTCTGATAATGAAGCTTATAGTGTTTACACATTAAGTGAGGAAGATTTACTGAAATCAGGGAAGACGTTTAATTGGCAGAGATAATTGGCATCTTATGAGTTGTAGGAGCAGAAGCTAACAGCTGCTGCACATTAGCAAAGATATGCAGAGGCAGGTGGATCGCTCACACACACACACACACACACACACACACACACACACACACACAGACGCACACACTGACACACACCCACAGCAGAGGATCTTGGATGGGCTGAGCAGGCATATCTGCCCGGGTAACGATGGGAATTTAAAGCGCCCTCCGGCCACCCAGTGAATAGAAGACAAATGACCAAAGTGTGTGTGCGCCGCTAATGAGCGCGCTCCTTTTGTTGCACACAAACCGCTCAATTGATTTCACATGAATCTGCAGCTAAGGAGGGGAGGAAGGAGCAAACTCTTCAGTTTCTCTGCTGGAGACTTTTGAAGACCTTCCAGACTCGCAGGAGGGCTCTCTCGTTTTTTTATTCAGCAACACCGTGACGACTGCACGCTCGCGCGCTCGCTCGCTAATTACCCCCACCTTAATGAATCTTTTGTGATGTTTGCTGTGTATCTTTGAGTTAAAGCAGTGCTCACTGATGCGGGGACATCGTTTTCTGTGCGTGTGGTAATGCGGTCTTTAATCTTTATTCATCCACGCAAGGTGGGCACCGGGCTTCACTCTCACTACTTTATCAACGCTAACTAGCTTAACATTTGGGCGGTTACACAACTTCAAACTGAGGGCCGATCGACGCCACTACCTGAAAACGTCTTAGGACAGCATGGTGATAGATTCCAACAATCAGGGGAATGCACAAGTGTTAGTGGGGAGATCAGCTTTGGGGAAACATGTTGGCAGTATTGACATTTGAGGGAAGAGCCCCAAATGATGCTACACACGATGATTGATGATTTTCAAATCTCAATCGATTTTCAAAACTTGGGAGACCACGGTCATGACGACAGTTTCAGCAGTTTTCCGCAAGGCTACTTCCTACAGGGCGGCTGTGGCTCAGTTGATAGATTCGTCGTCTCTCAACCGGAAGGTCGAGGGTTCGATCCCCAGCTCCTGCACCCACATGTCCGATGGGCGAGACACTTAACCCTGAATTGCTCCCCAACTGACGCGCACGCTACACGACTGGTCCGTTTACCGGGAGATCGCGCACCTGCAGTTTGTAGAAACGATTTCACAGTTGCGTTTCCAGCGACCTGAGATATAAACTAAAACTCGTGTGATAAAACGTGACTTCAGAAGAAAAACCAAATATGGAGGATGATCAACGTACTCAGCTGGTTGTGTGGTACGTCTTGCACGAGATATTACAAAGTCACTCCAGGTTGTTGCCATTATTCCACCAGCTGCTCTTCCTTTTTAATATTCCACTTTGCTGATGTTTGTGACACTGGATGAGTATTTGGACATATAACCGGTTGCAACAAGCCTCCAAATAGAAATCTAACTAAGAATTTTTAGTGCATAAACAAGCTGATTGCTCATCGTACCACCATGTAGTACCGCCCATTATTTGATTTTTTTTTTTTGGGGGTTTTAGTCACTAACAAAGAAAAAAACTCAGTCCACAAATATTTAACTTGGAAGATGCCACATCACCCACATGTTCTCACAGTCTGTGCTTTCAGCCAGTGTTACTCTTCTTAACTACTCGGTTCATGAGGAAACAGACGCTTGAAACTTCTGTTTGATCCATTAAAGCCAAACGAAGCAATGTTTTTTGGATTCAGAATTTGGACATGAAGCTACATGATGTAGCCAGTGTGTCTCTCAGAGTCTTCACTGTGTGAGCCTCTCTGCTCCCAACGCTGCCCTTACACACTCGCCACAGCAAGGTCCTTGATGTTATCAAACCAATTTGTCCCCGCTTTAATCATTGGGAAAATTGAGCAGCACCCCACCCCCCCCCCCCCTCCCTTGTACTTTGGAAGCAGACAAAATCCAATCACTCATAAGAGAGTGTATTGATTGATGTAATCTTATTGGAGGTGAGGTGTTGG